CCCTCAACGTTCCTCTCCATTTGTTCGAATTGTGGAACTGTCGAATTTTTTTTAGCATTTTTGCACATCACAGTGCGAACAAGCAAAAAAAAACAAGCAAAAAAAAATTGTCGAAAATTTTGAGACCAGATTCCCGCCAATATCTGGCAAAATGGCGCATGTGTGAAACAAAAAACTGTTGGAGCGTGTTAACGGCTGATTGAAATTGCTATATCGAATTCAATTGTGTTATTCATCGAGTGAATATATATTTTTTTTTATATATATTTTTCCTTTGAATCCTCTCGGCCGATTTCATGTGCCATCGCCTCTCCTTTCCCCGTCATTTCTTCATCTAATTTCTTCTTTTCAAAGTAAATGTAACATTAATATTATTTTTAATAATCTTATTATTCATTATTCATTCATCCACCTGTTAATTTAACAATATAAACCATCCTTTTAATTCCATAATAAAAATCTATTTCTGATTCATAAAACATAAAAAAAATAATTACTAAAGCGCCTGGTGTAATTATTTATAATTATTACGGGTGTTCTCATCTATTCTTCTTGGATTTGGAAATGGGGGTTTGATTTCTTTTGCAGCAGCTCCACACAGTTGTTACTATTTTCTTTAGAACGTACAGAATAATTAGTGCACATGTGATTATAAATCCGTAAACATCCAGGAGATATAGTTGCCACCAGGATAACTCAGTTGCTGGTGATTTCATGACTGTTCCGTGTCTTGCTGTGTATTCTACCCAGTAAACTGCTGTGTCCAGAGCACTCATGGGTCGGCTCAGGAACAAATCCGAAATGTGAGCGATATTTTTTCTTTTAACAAACAAAAATTTATCAAATTTCAATTCTCAAGGATAAGAAACAATTGGAATTGAGGGAGTCTATAATAGGCTCTTCGATCTTATTTTTCAAAAATTGAATCGAAATTTCAGAGTTCCATCCTAATTTTAATTTGATATTTCTTCTACTTCTTTTTTGTTAGAAACTCCGAAATTTTTTATGTAATTACCGTTGATGTTTTGAGATTGTTTGGACTGCATTTGAATGGTGTAATTAGTTTATTTAATTAAGAAGAAAAATCAATCATTGACTCCTCCATTTTTCTTTGCTAAAATTGAATGGAAAAATTCTCTTGATTTCCAGTTAGAAATTTATTATTCTTTTGGATCTCAGTGAGAATTCCAATTTTATATTCCTTTTACTTAATTATTACGAGAGAATCTGAAATTTTTAATTTACTTAAGATGAAAGGATGAATTCTATACCTCGAATGGAATCCCTTCAGAGTTTTTGGATTGAATTAGGAGGATGTAATTGGTTTATTTAATTAACGCAATTGAATCTCACCTGTACTTCGGATCGTTCAGTACTGCAATGATAGCATTAGTGAGACCGTCCACAGAAAGGGTGTCAATACTTAAAGCAATCGCTATATTTTTGTTCTGGTAAGTCCGAATGTTCGTGTGCTGATCTCCAAACAGGGGAATCCCAATCATCGGGACTTTGTGAGCCAGCGCCTCCTGGGTACCCAGAAGACCCCCATGAGTGATGAAGGCGCGAACATTCTTGTGCTCTTCAAAAAATTTGTTTCCATGAAAAAATAATCAAAGGATACCCGAAAGTAATGAGTGCCCCAGAAAAATCTAATTGAATTTCAATAGAATCAGTCAAGAACTGATAGAAATTGAATATTCAATAGGATTTTTTTGGGTTTTGTATTGAATTTTTTACTCAGGACGGCGACTTGCGGCATCCACGAGGACGTCATGACATTTTTGGGCAGACCCTTGGGCAGAATCTTGGGGTCTGCTATTTTCATTAATACTCGGACCGGCGCGATCTTCTCGAAAGTCTCGTACAGGATTTTCAATTTCTCTGGTGGGAGCGTCTCGATTCTGATCATCGAACCGAATGTGAAGTACACACAGCCCTCGGTACTCGCATCCAGCCATTTTTCCAATTCCTAGAAATAATCATTTTTAATTATTCCATTATTCTGAAATTCTTCGTGTAACTTCATACGAATTTCTTGATAATTTTTCTTACACCCCATCGTTTTTTTATATTGAGGTTGTTGTCCCGTAGAATTTTTTTTCGACAGTTTTCGTTAACAATTTTATGGTGAATAGTTTGAAAAATTAGCAACAAAATGAGCCTTTTCCGTTTGCAATTGACCGTTTTGAACTTGAGATATAAATTTTTGAAATTCGAGTGATTTAACACGTGTTTAAATGGAGTTTTGCCGATTAGAA